GCCTAATAAAATCTTAGACTAATTGAAGGTGATCTGGCTTGGTCCCTAAATGGTTTGTTGATTTCAGGGTGATAATGGCCCTTTTGTGATGATTTACAGAGAGGGGAAAAATCTTACCCTTTCCAAGGTAGTAGAACAACTTTTAGCATATAATATTACTGTTAACATTTAACAGTTGCATAGGATTGATAGACTGTGATGAACTTTCATAAATTAGATGATACATGGGAGTGCATCTAATTTACAGATAAGTAAGTTAAAGATCAGGGAGTTTAAACAATTTTATTAGGATCTAACAGCTGAGATGCAGCAGAGTTAGGATTCAATCCAGGTCTTTTGATTCTTAGTGTGAGCTAAGATCTGAGAATGTTCTGAAAGTGATACTTTAAACTATGGTTAGCATTTGTAAATGTAGGATCTGAAAACAGGGTTCTATGATTTGGAAGAACTTAGGTTTAGAAATGTTAAAAGAATGCTGCATATTAGATGGATACCAACTTCACTTACTTTATCTGAGGACATGTCTGTGTTCAGAGCACAGTATTATATTGAAATTATTTTCTATTTCCACCTCTTCTTCTCAGACAGCATAAATTTGAGTTGTTTAAAATCTAAAGGAAAGATAATTGTGTTCAGTCTGATGACTAAACTTTATGACTAGTAGGAAAGGATTTTATGCATTCAGTCCCTAAAAAGTCAAATCCCAAATTTAATTTAGAGGATATTGTATTTATTCTTTGGGCTTTTATGTAAAGAAATTGCCTTCTTTTTCTTTTCTTCTATTGGGAAATGCTGAACTTTAATTTGGATGGATTTTAAAAATAAAAATATGAAAATAAGCTAAACCAAACATAATGACTACTTTTCCAATTCTGGGATATTTTTATCTTTTTCTTGTGTTTTTTAAGCATACAAGGAAACCACAGACAGTCATAAAAATAAAGTTTCAGTTAATTTTAGTGACAATATTTCAAAGAAAATTTAAGAATTGTTTTGCAGAGGCATTCTATGGCTAACAATCTATTTTGGACTATGGAAACAAATGTTTTTATTGGCTAGCTTTTGGGTTTTTATTTTTTAAATACATTTTTATTGATTTCAGAGAGAGAGCGATAGGAACATCAATGATGAGAGAGAATCACTGATCAGCTGCCTCTTGCATGCCCCTACTGGGGATCAAGCCCACAACCCGGGAATGTGCTCTTGACCGCAATCGAACCCAGGACCTTTCAGTTCATAGGCCGATGCTTTATCTATTGAGCCAAATCAGCTAGGCTTGGCTAGCTTTTGGATATCAACAAACAAATATTGTTTTGGCAGTAGCTTTTTTTTATTTTTAAAGATGCCCTAATTTTTTTAATATTATAATTCAGAAAATAGTGCCATATTTTTACTAGGGACTGTCTGCACTGGGACATTTGTAGGTCTAATTGTTTTCTTTTAATCCTCACCTGAGGATATTTTTTCCATTGATTTTCAGACAGAGTGGATGGAAAGGAGGGGTGGGAGAGAGAGAAACATCAATGTGTGAGAGACATCGATTGGGTCTCTCCCATATGCACCCAGACTAGGGCTGGGGATCAAACCTGCAACTGAGGTTTGTGCTCTTTTTTTTTTTTTTTTTTAAATTTATTGATTTTTTTACAGAGAGGAAGGGAGAGAAATAGAGAGTCAGAAACATCGATGAGAGAGAAACACCAATCAGTTGCCCTCCTGTACACTCCCTACTGGGTATCTGCCCACAACTGAGGTACATGCCCTTGACCAGAATCAAACTTAGGGCTCTTGAGTCCGCAGGCTGACGCTCTATCCACTGAGCCAAACCAGTCATGGCTGAGGTATGTGCTCTTGACTGGGAATTGAACCCATTTGGTCTGTAGGCCCACACTCTAACACTGAGCAAAACTCACTGGCTAATTTTTTTAGAAAGTGAAGGTAACGTTAAAAAAAAAATGCTGTGACTTGAATAAAAGAAGAATAAATGTTTAGTTAGAGTTTCTAAATTTGAGGTTCTTAAGAAATTAGTTTCATTATTTAAATTACAGAATAGTGATTTGACTATCTTTAATATGAATCCATTTTTTCTGTAGTTGTAAATATAGATTGCAGAGAAGGGGGGGGGATCTTGTATTAAACGTTTTGCAGTTGTAACATAGGAGAAGTAGCTTTAGTATAGGAGGCTATTTGTGGGCAGAGAAGTATAAGTACCATGTGTACTTTTATTCTTTAAGCTGTTTAGAATACATTGAATACAAATGGGATAGCAGTTGTCATTCTGGCCTGGATATAGATACTGTTTGGTCAGGGAACTGAGTGTAGAAGGGTGGAAGAGACTTTTCTCCCTCTTTGTACAAGAAAATGCATGAAAAGAGAATGAGAAAGGTAGTAAACATATTGGATAACAGAATCAGAGGCACAAATATTTTAAATGGTTGGAATTATAGGCCCTTTATTGAGAAGATGAAATATAATAGGTAAAAACATTAGTTCTTACATGTGAGTATATATAAGTCAGCTGTGTAAGTAATCATTTAGAATAAAGATAGATGGGATAATTTGCCAGCTAGAGAGATTTGCGAAAAGCAAGAAGAGAGCTTAAAGTAAAAAATATATACTTATAAAAGTTACTTAGGTAGCATCTAAACCCTCTGTGCTGCGGTAGGGCACTTGTTGATGAATTCAATTTTAAAGACGGTGTAAAGGATATGTGAAGGACTCTTGATTTTATGTAGTGTTGAGGCTGAAAACATAAGAATACTGCTATGAAGTATGAAGGCATGGCTTTTAAAATATACTAAGGACTACAAAAAGGAATTTTAAGTTCTGTTCACAACAAAGCAAGTGGATATAAATGGGGTTTAAGCTGGAAAGTGGTGATTTGAGCTCACATTTTAGTTTCCGACTTCCAGACAATTGTCTCTTTGAAGTAATAAAATCATATGGCAAGTTGGAATCTGATGAGTCTAGAGGATACTTTTGAGACAGTAGATTCTCTTACATCTCTGCAGTAGAGGATAGCCAATCTTGGTGTTATTTTTCTCATATTCCTCAGTGCTCACCAAAATGGTTTGTTCTTGTATACTAGACTTTCAGTTACTTACAATTGTGCTTATTTTACTAGTGCATCGATAGCCTCAGTTATGCCACAGAATCTTTCACCTCCCCTGTCTCCATGCTCTGCTACTTCAGTACTACTCTCAGAACCACCTTAGACAAGGTTTTCTTGCCATGCTGGGGTTCTGCTAAACCTGGGGCGCTGGGGCCATAAGCACTTCCTGAGGAAGATGTAGAAACTGCTCAGGTCTAACCTAGCACAAAGTCATGTTGTTTGCAAATAACCTGGCCCTAATATCACATGGAATGTTGCTACTCATCTCTCATGTAATATATTTATCAGAATGCTTTTGAGAATGAAAGGTCGTATATTGGAAAATACACATAAACTGAAACTATTCTTGAACAAACTGATTTGTTGGTTACTTATAGATATGCATGTGTAAGGTTATTCATGGCAGAAGATTGAAAACTACCTAAATGTCCATCAGTAGGAGACTGATTGGATTAGTGCAGTAGTCGGCAAACCGTGGCTCACGAGCCACATGCGGCTCTTTGGCCCCTTGAGTGTGGCTCTTCCACAAAATACCACATGTGGGCGCTCATGTACAGTGTGATTGAAACTTCGTGGCCCAGGTGCAGAAGTCGGTTTTTGGCCTGGGCGAATCTATTTTGAAGAAGTGGTGTTAGAACATTCAAGGGGCCAAAGAGCTGCATGTGGCTCTCGAGCCGTGGTTTGCCAACCACTGGATTAGTGGTACCACATTTACTCATCAGGATATAATGCAACTTTTAAAAGGTATGAGGTAGAAGGTGTACAAACGGCTAACAGACACATAAATGATGCTAACCTTACTAATCTTTAGGAAAATGCAAATCACAACCACAGTGAGATATCACTTTACACCTATTGTGATGACTACCATTAAAAACAACAATAAATAGCAAGTGTTGGCAAACATATGGAAAAATTAAAATCCTTTTGCACTGTTCCTGTAATATAAAATTGTGGAGATGAAATGGAAAACTCTATGGTGCTTCCTCAAAAAGTTGAACATATAATTATTATATGACCGAGTAATTTCACTTCTGAGTATACACCCAAAAGAATTGAAAATAGGGACTTGAACCAGATAACTGTACATACAGCCCTAGTAGCATTAATAGGCCAACGGTGGAAGCAACCCAAGTATTCATTGACAGATGATTGGATAAACAGATTGTGGTATATACACATAATGAAATTTTATTCAGAATTTAAAAAGAAGGAAATTCTGACACATACTACAACATGGATAAACCTTGAGGACATTATGCTAAGTGAAATAAGCCAGTTACTAAAAGACAAATACTGCATAATTCCATTTATGTGAAGTTCCTAGAATAGTAAAATTCATAGAGACAGACAGCAGTCAAATTTCTAGGCTCCTAGTGCTTGCCCAGGGGTTGTGGAGGGAGGCATGAGGAGTTGTGTAATGGATATAGATTTTCAGTTTCTGGAGATTGGTTGCAGAAAAATGTGAATGTATTTAACACTACTGAACTGTACACTTAAAAATGGTTAAGATAATAAATTTTATGTTATGTATATTTTATTACTAAAATATTTTTGAGGTGAGATAGAACTTTATACAATGACATGAACAAATCTCTAAGACATATTATGTAGCAAATAGCCAAACAATTTGAACAAGAAAGAACAAAATTGGAGGACTTGCACTACCTGGTTTAAAGACCTATTTATTATAAAGTTCAATATGCAAGTCAGTGTGGCATTGACTTAAGGATAGACATGTAGATCCATGCAAAAATATAGAAGCAAACCCACATATATAAGTTGATTTTCAGTAGAGTTGCTAAGGCAATTCAGTTGTGGAAAAGATAGGGTTTTCAATAAATGGTGTCAGGACAATTGAATATCCATTTGGGAAAAAATTAGCCTTGACCTTAACTTACACCATACATTAAATTAATCTGAGATGGATTATAGACTAAATGTGGAAACTAAAATGATAAAGATTTTAAAAGAAAACTAGGAGAACATCTATGTGACCTTCAGTTAAGCCAAAAGCATGACTGAATAAAGGTTTCATGGAATATTTGAAAACTCTTGAAAAATAGTGCATCACCATGCAAAAAGGGTGGATAGTCAGATAGCAAGTAGTCCCATTTTGTTTCATAAATTTTACTTGGCTCTGCAGATCTCTCGATGCTACTTGAGCCCTTTATTTTTAGATATTTAACTTCAGTGGGGAGGAGGACCCTGGAAGAAATGAGGGGACATGGGAGGCACTGAGCAGAGTTTTCTCAGGTGTTATCTATTCTGCTGAGCCAGGTTTTCCTCTTTAAGCCAGAATTTTGGGTATATTCATATCTGTGGGGTAGATCTTCTTAATTGAAGTTTTTTTTCTTTTAATATGTTTCTATTGTTTTTGTTTTGTTTTGTTTTTTAAGAAAGAAAGGAAGGAAAAGGGATAGAGAGAGAGAAAAGTTAATAAGAGAGAAACATCATCAATACCTCCTGCATGCCTTCCACAGGGGATTGAGCCCACAACCTGGGCATGTGCCCTGACTGAGAATCGAACTAATGGCCTCTTGATTTCTGGGTTGACACTCAACCATTGAACTACACCAGCTAGGCTATTAAAGGTTTAATTTATATAGATGTTAGGCAACATTAGATATAAAAACATTATTATATGTTATAGACTTTGTGAAATTTTAGAAAGAATACTGAACTCTGGAATTTTATCTATATCAGTAAATACACCTGTGTATAGGTATATAGATTGAGTATAAAAGGCAACCGCTATTTAGAGAGAGCACCAACTTTCTAGATTATATAATCTATTTTCAAAGGTATATAAGGAATTATATTTTGATATTATCTATCCTCTCATACCCAAGTTCTTGATCTAATCAATCAAGGTCTCTGATGATCCAGAAATCCTGATTACTGCATGAAATATGTCCACATCTTTTGTTTGAGTTTGTATTGTGCCTTGAGTATTCACGTGCAGCTTTCCCAGTTATGAATTTTACTGTGCATTGTCATCTCTGTATAACTTATAAATATGTACCTTTTAAATAAAAAGTGAAGTAGTTAGTGGCCTCTAGTGGTACTAATGTGTCTATAAAATGTCACTAATATCACCAGTAACAAAGATTTAGTAGATAGCATTACTAATATGTATATTTATTAAAGAAAAGTTTTTAAAGTTTGAGAATTAAAAGTTTATTAATCAGTTATGAATTTATCAGTGATGTGGCTGTGCCTACTATTATAGCAAATTTTTATCATTACCAGACTCCTTATTTTAAGTAATGCCTTGAGGTTATATATGTATGCCTTAATCAGTGGTTCTCAACCTTTCTAATGCCGGGACCCTTTAATACAGTTCCTCATGTTGTGGTGACCCCAACCATAAAATTATTAATGTTGCTACTTCGTAACTGTAATTTTGCTACTGTTAATGAATCCTAATGTAAATACCTGTGTTTTCCTATGGTCTCAGGCTCTACAGCAGCGGTTCTCAATCTGTGGGTCGCCTAAGACCATCGGAAATTTACATTATTATTCATAACAGTAGAAAAATTACAATTACGAAGTAGCAACGAAAATAATTTTATGGTTGGGGGACACCACAACATGAGGAACTGTATTAAAGGGCCGCGGCATTAGAAAGATTGAGAACCACTGCCTTAATTGGAAGTATTTCTATATTGCTTGTACTTATGTCAGCAATAGTTTACAGTTGCATTGCACTGAAATGTGTCCATGAACTGGGGTAGCAGGAATGATTTCTGATATCTCCTTAAATATAATGAAAGATAAAAATAGGATCAATATTTCATAAGTTAAAAAAAATAAATCCTTAAAATAAGGTTTATTTCTTTAAAAGGCTAATTTTGGCTAGCTTAAAGATACTTCAAGTTAGGCCAGTAATTATTCAAAATGTGAAATATATGTGGAAATTTAGACAGATCATTTCAAAAATTTGGAAAATTTATGTAAATTCAAGATTTGGAAAGCTAAAGAGAAAACAGACAAGTTTTAGGCAAATTAAATTTATTTTAAGTACTCATTAATTTTCATTTATGCTAAAAATTAGGTATTGAAATATAGGGATTCAATAATTTGCCCACAGTCATAAACCTATTTACTATTCGCTGAGATGATAATAAAACCCTGTTCTTTTGACTTTCTGCTAAAGTTTGTTTGTTTGTTTGTTTGTTTGTTTTTACTCTAATATAACGCTCTACTCTTTGTGTTAAATGGGGCAAGTTGATTTTTTTTAATGTTTTTTCTTCTTTTTAAAGTTAAAAAATTAACAAGTCTTATTCTAGTTAGGAAGGCTTAACTGACAATAGAAAGACATGACTAGAAGTGTTTTAACACTGAAATCAGAATGGTCTAATAACACAAATCTGTGTTAATTAAGGAGTCTGCAGCTTTTATTTATTTCAAAGCTAGACCATACAGTTAGCTCTCTTTGTCTGCAGGTTCCATGTCCACGGTTTCTGTATCCCCGAATTCAATCAACCATAATGAAAAATATTTGATAAAAAACATTAGGTTGTTGCCGAAACCGGTTTGGCTCAATGGATAGAGCGTCGGCTTGGGGACTGAAGGGTCCCGGGTTCGATTCCTGTCAAGGGCATGTACCTTGGTTGCGGGAATATCCCCAGTAGGGGGTGTGCAAGAGGCAGCTGATTGATGACTCTCATCGATGTTTCTAACTCTCTATCTCTCTCCCTTCCTCTCTGTACAAAATCAATAAAATATATTAAAAAATAAAAAAAAAATAAAAAAAACACATTAGGTTGTTGTTGATGTCTACTATGTGGTTAGGACTGTGATGATTGTGTCTGTACTGAACCTGTACACATTGTTTTTTCTTGTCATTATTCGCTAAACAATACAGTATAACTAGTATTTTCACAGCATTTTCACTGTTATGTACTATATATAATTCAGTATGAAGAGAATGTGTGGATATTATATACAAACTAGAGGACCAGTGCACGAGATTCGTGCACCTGTGGGCGGGATCCCTCAGCCCACCTGTGCCCTCTTACAGTCTGGGAGCTGGCCTAAGCGGTCAGTTGGACATCCTTAGCACTGCCACTGAGGTGGAGGGGCTCCTACTACCACCACTATGATCACCAGCCGTAAGCCCGGCTTCTGGCTGAGCTGCACTCTCCCTATGGGAGTGCACTGACCACTAAGGGGAAGCTCCTGCATTGAGCATCTGCCCCCTGGTGGTCAGTGTGCGTCATAGCAACCAGTCATTTGGCTGTTCGGTCTATTTGCGTATTAGCCTTGTATTATATAGGATATGACACCATTATATATAAGAGATTCGAGCATTTGAGGATTTTGGTGTCCTTGGGAGACCTGGAGCCAATCCCTCAAGGACACTGAGGGTCAACTCTGTTTATAAGAACCACTTATGGTATGTGTGAACTCAAGAATAGTTTTGATTATAATAGCCATAGTGTTCTAATGAAAAAGTTAGATTCTACTATTGGATTCATAACTGACTAAAAGATTTCATCAAGAGTAGTAAGATCTTCAGTATTTTTCTCGAATTGAGTACTATGGACTTACTTTTAAACTGCTATAAAACTTACACTAGAACTATTATAATTTTGTGAATTAATTGTGGTTTCCATTCTTTGAAGTTCATTGGGCTCTTGACCCAGAAAATGACTGCTTTTCCCACGACTTCTGAGTACTGATAAGCAAAATGAGGTAGAAACCCAGATTCTGGTTTTAAATATTTTACTTTCAGACAAGTTTAATGGAGGAAGAGACATGTTCTATGTTGAAAAGAAGGCTCTGTGCTCATAATAGCATTTTTCACTCATTTCATCAACTAGAGATTCTTTTAAACTTAATGTAGCCTCTTTAAAATTTCTGGAAAACACTTTTCAATTTTACATGAATATTTATTTATATTAATATTGTTCTACTTAGGTGTCATCTATAGTGTTAGATCATAGAACAACTTGTTTGTTGCCTGTTGGTGACAGAGACAACTTTAAGCAGAATGATGAGATGCTATTACTAAAAGTGAAGAATTGTTTCTAAACCTGAAAAAGGGACAGAGGTGGAGTACAGAAATTAATAACTTAGATACAGATGATTGGTGATTAAAAATGATAATTAAAGAGCTGGATTGTGAGTACTTATGGAAATAAAACTTTTTTGGGTAGATTGCTCATATTTGCTTTAAGTTTTATAACCATTTTGCTTTAAAATTTATAGCCATTTAAAAATTTAGCAATGATTTAATACCGGTTTATTGATTTAACAGGTATTTATAGAATGCTTACTGTGTCAAGTAAAGAGATGGGTATTAAAGATATGGTGGTGAATCAGCTAAAATCCCTCTCTTAGAATTTAAAGTTCTAGTGGAGAGAGACTGGCACTAACCATAATGAATAAGTAAATTATATAGTACATGTGAAGTGATACATACTATTAAAAAATAATAAAGCAGAGAGAGGAACAATGGTGACCCATAGTTTGTAAATAATCAAGGCAACCAGTTACATATTGCTACTGGCTGAATGGTCTAAGGAAAACAAATGAACTAAGTAAATTCATTTCTATAATTTGTATATTTTTGATATTATAACTAGAACCTTACCAAATAATAAAAAAGTATATATATAATATGAAGAGTGATGGATATGAAATTTCTTGGCTGATACTAGCTAAGACTTATTCAGAACATGAGTTATACATGACTGTGATTATAATTATGAGTAATACATGACTATAATTATAATTACCTGTAATCAAATAAGTTACACATTTAATGTATTCCATACAAGGACAAAGAAAAGGGTAGAGAAATTTGGGATCACACATTTACAGTTTGTCATTAAAGCAGATTAAGTACAAGTATAAAAATCCTATGTATTTCTTTCTTTTTAAAAAAATATATTT